TTCTTGCTGAAGCTCAAACGTGCTGTGTAACACACTAGAATGAACCTCGTTGGTTCTTGCTGTAGCTCAAATGTGTTGCATAAAACAAATAAACCTCATTGGTTCTTGCTGAAGCTCAAACGTGCTGTGTAATTCACTAGAATGAACCTCGTTGGTTCTTGCTGTAGCTCAAATGTGTTGCATAAAACAAATGAACCTCGTTGGTTCTTGCCGAAGCTCAAATGTGCTGCGTAACACTAGAGCCCCTTTCACACAGTGCGTTGATCCTGGGAAATTGCCATAAACTTGCTAGAGTGCCTTCAATGTGAATGCAAACACGTCCTGGGACTGATGCTGGAATCAGTCCCGGAAACGTGCCTTGTGTGAACAAAAGCCAGGACCAATGGTGTAAGGGGTGTGTCGTAGTGATGAAGCTGAGATAATTCATCAGCTTAGTGGAACGGTATGCAATGCGCTAGTTCATGGTCGAATCAGAAAAAAAAAGCATGAGTGTTTCTTGAGAGAAATCGCAGATCATAAGCAAACTTAGACGCTGTGGAGGTATCACACGTCGCATCCTGACGGGGATGTGTGAACGCATTCTCAAATTCCGAAAGATCACTGGCAGTGTGAATGAACCAAAATCAAATGATCCCGGGACACATTTTCCAGAATCTCTGTGTGAAAGGGGCTTAGAATGAACTTCACTGGTTCTTGCTGAAGCTCAAATGTGCTGCATAATACATGAGAATGAACCTTATTTGTTTTTGCTGAAGCTCAAACAGGCTGTATAACACTAGAATGAACCTCATTGGTTCTTTTGGATACTCAAAAAGTGCTGCATAACACAAGAATGAACATCACTGGTTCTCGAGGAAGCTCAAACATGCTGCGTAACACCAGTGTGTTGCTTTTTCGAACCACAATTGATTCGAATTTTCAAAAAAGCCAAGTTTCTCCCAACACCACCTCCAGTGTGAAATCCATTAATATGTGATTTTATGTATGTTTAATAAGGGTGGAAAAGAACAAGGAATAACTTTATTCTTATGAACCAATGGAATCGCCCAGTTGCATAAACTCCCACTCATACAAGTCTGGAGAATCATGTCTGTTAATGAAGAGGGAGGGATTATCATTAATTTGCCAAAATCTGTAGAGTACAAAAAGACCAGGGCAGCATCTCAACAGTGTGACTAGCTGTTGAACAATGGCAGGAAGTTGGTATGCTGTTCAGTCTCTGGCACTTTGTTTTTGGTTCGGTGCTTTCTGTCATGCTGTTCCAAAGTGGAGTAATCTTCCCCAGAATTCTCAAACTCTGATGTTCCAGCAAACTGACCAGCGGTTTCAACAACCAGTTCAACAGCAAGCTAGTCAACAGTTTTCTCCGCAGTTTCAACAGTCAGTTCAACAGCAAGCTAGTCAACGGTTTCCTCAGCCAGTTCAACAGCAAGCTAGTCAACGGTTTCCTCAGCCAGTTCAACAAGCTAGTCAACAGTTTCCTCAGTCAGTTCAACAGCAAGCTAGTCAAAGGTTTCCTCAGCCAGCTCAACAAGCTAGTCAACAGTTTCCTCAGCAGTTTCCTCAGTCAGTTCAACAGCAAGCTAGTCAACAGTTTCCTCAGCAGTTTCCTCAGTCAGTTCAACAGCAAGCTAGTCAACGGTTTCCTCAGCCAGCTCAACAAGCTAGTCAGCAGTTTCCTCAGTCCGTTCAACAGCAAGCTAGTCAACGGTTTCCTCAGCCAGCTCAACAAGCTAGTCAACAGTTTCCTCAGCAGTTTCAGCCTAAGCAGCCAGTGGCACAGGCAGAGCCCCTTGACAAATGTACTGTAGCTGATTATGAGCAGATCCAATGTGGACCACCTGGTATCAGTGGTGCTGAGTGTGCAGCTATCAACTGCTGCTTTAATGGACAGCAGTGTTACTATGGGAAGGCAGGTAAGAGTGTTGAGTCAATGTAAAGGTGTTCATGTTAAACTGATCTTCAGCAATAACCTGCTCTTGTACCTTGTTTCAGTGACTGTCCAGTGTATAAGAGATGGTCAGTTTGTGGTAGTGGTGGCTAGAGACGTTACGCTGCCTCGATTGAGCCTGGATTCAGTCCGTCTCCTGGGTGGAAATGATCCAGCTTGCAGTCCTGTGGGATCCACACCTTTCTTTGCTATATATCAGTTCCCTGTCACTGCATGTGGCACAAGCATGATTGTGAGTAGCTGCTTGTGGTTTTGTTCTGCATGGCTTGGAATGGACTGGATGCCAACGGTTACTATTTGCAGGAGGACAGTGGATATGTGGTGTATGAAAACAGAATGACCTCCTCGTATGAAGTGGGTATGGGACAACTTGGTTCCATCACAAGGGACAGCCATTTTGAGTAAGTGATGCATGCTTTATCATAAATGTTAATCCTGGACAAATGCTTCAAGCTCACTGTTTGTTGTCCAGGCTTCTCTTCCAGTGTAGGTACTCTGGTACTTCTGTGGAAGCTCTGGTTGTGGAGGTCAACACTGTTCCTCCACCTCCACCAGTAGCTGCTCCTGGACCCCTCAGAGTGGAGCTTAGACTGGCAAATGGTCAATGTGTCACCAAAGGCTGTGCAGAAGGTAAGTGTTTGTCCCAAGTATGCCTAAAGCCTTTCTAAAACTCCAGTTTGCAGCAGTTTCAAGTTAAACACTGTATTCTTCCTCAGGGGACGAGGCGTACACGTCCTACTACAGTGATGCTGATTATCCGGTGACAAAAGTCTTGCGTGAACCTGTGTATGTTGAGGTGCACATTTTGGAGAGGACCGACCCCAACATTGTCTTGATGCTGGGACATTGCTGGGCGACATCAACCCCTAGTCCACTCAGTCTACCCCAGTGGGACCTTCTGGTTGATGGGTGAGTAAGGCCAGTCTTTATCCATCTAGTGTGCAGTAAGGTGTTTCTGACTGCCTCTTTGCCTTTCAGATGCCCTTACCAGGATGATCGTTACCTGACCACATTGGTTCCAGTGGCTGGATCATCTGGTCTTCAGTTCCCAACCCACTACAAGCGCTTTGTTGTGAAGATGTTCACATTTGTAGATCCAGCATCACTGGCTCCTCTGCAGGAAACGGTACAGTACCCAGTGTGTCAGTTTTCAACTGTCTCTTGGTTCCTAATGCCAGCTTTGGTTCTCCTCTCAGGTCTTCATCCATTGCAGTACAGAGGTGTGCCATCCCTCTTCTGGCTCTTGTCAGCAAAGTTGCTCCAGGCAAAGTCAGTGCTTCCTGTTATTTAAACGGTTTAATTTAGCTTGTGTTTTAAAAGTTGTGGGAGTGTTAATTTTTGTTTGTTTTCTTGCACTTTTAGGAAGGGACGTTCGTTTAAACACTACCACTTCTGGCCAAACTGTGGTTTCTAGTGGAGAAGTGAGACTGATTCTATGAGTATTTAATAAATGATATTAAACATTGTCCTTGTCTGACCACATTTTGTGCAACGCTACCAACATGAAATTGTTCTGGTTTTATTTGGTATGTTGAGGACAGCTGTAACTTCCAGACTTCTACAAATCTCCCTGGGCCTCTATGGGAGGCAGGTGGATCATAAAGCACCTGTCAATTTGTTCTCATTGGTTCTTGCTGTAGCTCAAATGTGTTGCATAAAACAAATGAACCTCGTTGGTTCTTGCTGAAGCTCAAATGTGTTGCATAAAACAAATAAACCTCGTTGGTTCTTGCTGAAGCTCAAACGTGCTGTGTAACACGCTAGAATGAACCTCGTTGGTTCTTGCTGTAGCTCAAATGTGTTGCATAAACCTCGTTGGTTCTTGCTGAAGCTCAAACGTGCTGTGTAACACACTAGAATGAACCTCGTTGGTTCTTGCTGTAGCTCAAATGTGTTGCATAAAACAAATAAACCTCATTGGTTCTTGCTGAAGCTCAAACATGCTGTGTAATTCACTAGAATGAACCTCGTTGGTTCTTGCTGTAGCTCAAATGTGTTGCATAAAACAAATGAACCTCGTTGGTTCTTGCCGAAGCTCAAATGTGCTGCGTAACACTAGAGCCCCTTTCACACAGTGCGTTGATCCTGGGAAATTGCCATAAACTTGCTAGAGTGCCTTCAATGTGAATGCAAACACGTCCTGGGACTGATGCTGGAATCAGTCCTGGAAACGTGCCTTGTGTGAACAAAAGCCAGGACCAATGGTGTAAGGGGTGTGTCGTAGTGATGAAGCTGAGATAATTCATCAGCTTAGTGGAACGGTATGCAATGCGCTAGTTTATGGTCGAATCAGAAAAAAAAAGCATGAGTGTTTCTTGAGAGAAATCGCAGATCATAAGCAAACTTAGACGCTGTGGAGGTATTACACGTCACATCCTGATGTCACATGTCTTTACGGGGATGTGTGAACGCATTCTCAAATTCCGGAAGATCACTGGCAGTGTGAATGAACCAAAATCAAATGATCCCGGGACACATTTTCCAGAATCTCTGTGTGAAAGGGGCTTAGAATGAACTTCACTGGTTCTTGCTGAAGCTCAAATGTGCTGCATAATACATGAGAATGAACCTTATTTGTTTTTGCTGAAGCTCAAACAGGCTGTATAACACTAGAATTAACCTCAGTGGTTTTTGTTAAAGCTCACACATGCTGTGTAACACGAGAATGAACCTCATTGGTTCTTTTGGATACTCAAAAAGTGCTGCATAACACAAGAATGAACATCACTGGTTCTCGAGGAAGCTCAAACATGCTGCGTAACACCAGTGTGTTGCTTTTTCGAACCACAATTGATTCGAATTTTCAAAAAAGCCAAGTTTCTCCCAACACCACCTCCAGTGTGAAATCCACTAATATGTGATTTTATGTATGTTTAATAAGGGTGGAAAAGAACAAGGAATAACTTTATTCTTATGAACCAATGGAATCGCCCAGTTGCATAAACTCCCACTCATACAAGTCTGGAGAATCATGTCTGTTAATGAAGAGGGAGGGATTATCATTAATTTGCCAAAATCTGTAGAGTACAAAAAGACCAGGGCAGCATCTCAACAGTGTGACTAGCTGTTGAACAATGGCAGGAAGTTGGTATGCTGTTCAGTCTCTGGCACTTTGTGTTTGGTTCGGTGCTTTCTGTCATGCTGTTCCAAAGTGGAGTAATCTTCCCCAGAATTCTCAAACTCTGATGTTCCAGCAAACTGACCAGCGGTTTCAACAACCAGTTCAACAGCAAGCTAGTCAACCGTTTTCTCCGCAGTTTCAACAGTCAGTTCAACAGCAAGCTAGTCAATGGTTTCCTCAGCCAGTTCAACAGCAAGCTAGTCAACGGTTTCCTCAGCCAGTTCAACAAGCTAGTCAACAGTTTCCTCAGTCAGTTCAACAGCAAGCTAGTCAAAGGTTTCCTCAGCCAGCTCAACAAGCTAGTCAACAGTTTCCTCAGCAGTTTCCTCAGTCAGTTCAACAGCAAGCTAGTCAACGGTTTCCTCAGCCAGCTCAACAAGCTAGTCAGCAGTTTCCTCAGTCCGTTCAACAGCAAGCTAGTCAACAGTTTCCTCAGCAGTTTCCTCAGTCAGTTCAACAGCAAGCTAGTCAACAGTTTCCTCAGCAGTTTCCTCAGTCAGTTCAACAGCAAGCTAGTCAACGGTTTCCTCAGCCAGCTCAACAAGCTAGTCAGCAGTTTCCTCAGTCCGTTCAACAGCAAGCTAGTCAACAGTTTCCTCAGCAGTTTCCTCAGTCAGTTCAACAGCAAGCTAGTCAACAGTTTCCTCAGCAGTTTCCTCAGTCAGTTCAACAGCAAGCTAGTCAACGGTTTCCTCAGCCAGCTCAACAAGCTAGTCAACAGTTTCCCCAGTCGGTTCAACAGCAAGCTAGTCAACAGTTTCCCCAGTCAGTTCAACAGCAAGCTAGTCAACAGTTTCCTCAGCAGTTTCAGCCTAAGCAGCCAGTGGCACAGGCAGAGCCCCTTGACAAATGTACTTTAGCTGATTATGAGCAGATCCAATGTGGACCACCTGGTATCAGTGGTGCTGAGTGTGCAGCTATCAACTGCTGCTTTAATGGACAGCAGTGTTACTATGGGAAGGCAGGTAAGAGTGTTGAGTCAATGTAAAGGTGTTCATGTTAAACTGATCTTCAGTAATAACCTGCTCTTGTACCTTGTTTCAGTGACTGTCCAGTGTATAAGAGATGGTCAGTTTGTGGTAGTGGTGGCTAGAGACGTTACGCTGCCTCGATTGAGCCTGGATTCAGTCCGTCTCCTGGGTGGAAATGATCCAGCTTGCAGTCCCGTGGGATCCACACCTTTCTTTGCTATATATCAGTTCCCTGTCACTGCATGTGGCACAAGCATGATTGTGAGTAGCTGCTTGTGGTTTTGTTCTGCATGGCTTGGAATGGACTGGATGCCAACGGTTACTATTTGCAGGAGGACAGTGGATATGTGGTGTATGAAAACAGAATGACCTCCTCGTATGAAGTGGGTATGGGACCACTTGGTTCCATCACAAGGGACAGCCATTTTGAGTAAGTGATGCATGCTTTATCATAAATGTTAATCCTGGACAAATGCTTCAAGCTCACTGTTTGTTGTCCAGGCTTCTCTTCCAGTGTAGGTACTCTGGTACTTCTGTGGAAGCTCTGGTTGTGGAGGTCAACACTGTTCCTCCACCTCCACCAGTAGCTGCTCCTGGACCCCTCAGAGTGGAGCTTAGACTGGCAAATGGTCAATGTGTCACCAAAGGCTGTGCAGAAGGTAAGTGTTTGTCCCAAGTATGCCTAAAGCCTTTCTAAAACTCCAGTTTGCAGCAGTTTCAAGTTAAACACTGTATTCTTCCTCAGGGGACGAGGCGTACACGTCCTACTACAGTGATGCTGATTATCCGGTGACAAAAGTCTTGCGTGAACCTGTGTATGTTGAGGTGCACATTTTGGAGAGGACCGACCCCAACATTGTCTTGATGCTGGGACATTGCTGGGCGACATCAACCCCTAGTCCACTCAGTCTACCCCAGTGGGACCTTCTGGTTGATGGGTGAGTAAGGCCAGTCTTTATCTATCTAGTGTGCAGTAAGGTGTTTCTGACTGCCTCTTTGCCTTTCAGATGCCCTTACCAGGATGATCGTTACCTGACCACATTGGTTCCAGTGGCTGGATCATCTGGTCTTCAGTTCCCAACCCACTACAAGCGCTTTGTTGTGAAGATGTTCACATTTGTAGATCCAGCATCACTGGCTCCTCTGCAGGAAACGGTACAGTACCCAGTGTGTCAGTTTTCAACTGTCTCTTGGTTCCTAATGCCAGCTTTGGTTCGCCTCTCAGGTCTTCATCCATTGCAGTACAGAGGTGTGCCATCCCTCTTCTGGCTCTTGTCAGCAAAGTTGCTCCAGGCAAAGTCAGTGCTTCCTGTTATTTAAACGGTTTAATTTAGCTTGTGTTTTAAAAGTTGTGGGAGTGTTAATTTTTGTTTGTTTTCTTGCACTTTTAGGAAGGGACGTTCGTTTAAACACTACCACTTCTGGCCAAACTGTGGTTTCTAGTGGAGAAGTGAGACTGATTCTATGAGTATTTAATAAATGATATTAAACATTGTCCTTGTCTGACCACATTTTGTGCAACGCTACCAACATGAAATTGTTCTGGTTTTATTTGGTATGTTGAGGACAGCTGTAACTTCCAGACTTCTACAAATCTCCCTGGGCCTCTATGGGAGGCAGGTGGATCATAAAGCACCTGTCAATTTGTTCTCATTGGTTCTTGCCGAAGCTCAAATGTGCTGCGTAACACTAGAGCCCCTTTCACACAGTGCGTTGATCCTGGGAAATTGCCATAAACTTGCTAGAGTGCCTTCTGTGTGAATGCAAACACGTCCTGGGACTTATGCCGGAATCAGTCCCGGAAACGTGCCTTGTGTGAACAAAAGCCAGGACCAATGGTGTAAGGGGTGTGTCGTAGTGATGAAGCTGAGATAATTCATCAGCTTAGTGCAACGGTATGCAATGCGCTAGTTTATGGTCGAATCAGAAAAAAAAAGCATGAGTGTTTCTTGAGAGAAATCGCAGATCATAAGCAAACTTAGACGCTGTGGAGGTATTACACGTCACATCCTGACGGGGATGTGTGAACGCATTCTCAAATTCCGGAAGATCACTGGCAGTGTGAATGAACCAAAATCAAATGATCCCGGGACACATTTTCCAGAATCTGTGTGTGAAAGGGGCTTAGAATGAACTTTACTGGTTCTTGCTGAAGCTTAAATGTGCTGTGTAACACACTAGAATGAACCTCGTTGGTTCTTGCTGTAGCTCAAATGTGTTGCATAAAACAAATGAACCTTGTCGGTTCTTGCCTAAGCTCAAATGTGCTGCGTAACACTAGAGCCCCTTTCACACAGTGCCTTGATCCTGGGAAATTGCCATAAACTTGCTAGAGTGTCTTCTGTGTGAACGCAAACACGTTCTGGGACTGATGCCGAAATCAGTCCCGGAACGCACCCTTGTGTGAACAAAAGCCAGGACCAATTGTGTAAGGGTTGTGTCGTAGTGATGAAGCTGAGATAATTCGTAGTGGTGGCCAGATCGAGGCTTCGTGAAACACTAAAACAGTTGAAGCAAATGTGCTGTATTGTTGAGGCTTCGAAACAATTCGACACCTATCTCCATGGTGACCCAGTGGTCAGAACCGTGTAAATGCAACAAAAACCCAAACATGCATATAACCCCTTTTTTCAAATCTATTGCAAATGTTTTATTGAAAGTGAAATCTTTCAAATGCAACTATCTAATCAGATTATCAAGTCTATATATGTTCTTTTATCAATTAACTACCATTATTCATTTTAATTATACTAATGTCTAATCAAATAGTCTACACATGTATAAAACTGATCAGAGATCAGGTAAACCCACAGACACTTGTTCAATGGCTCTCAGTGAATCCTCATGATTCATGGGTTGACAGAGATCATCGGCCCCAGCGGTTAAACCATTGAAATTATGTATTTCGAAACAGTTATGACGTAATCGAGCCTCGTTTACTGAAATCATGTGACTCTGGCAGTTTGATACACACTCTGATCCATTGATTGGTGTTACGCAGCACGTTTGAGCCTCAGCAAGAACCAATGAGAACAAATTGACAGGTGCTTTATGATCCACCTCTCCTCGATAGAGCTTCACAGTCCCGCCCACAGCCCGAGAGAGCTTTGGAGCCGGAAGTAAATTTCCCATTCATTTCTCCCATTGACGTTTTGGAAAATCCGTATCTAAAGAGATTTAGAGCATGTCTGAGGATGACCAGCTACGGGTGAACTCATAAGCATACAACATATCATTTCGAGTGAAAAAACGAAGAGAAAATCCAAAAAAAAGTCAAAGGTACAAGACTGTGTACATATTTTCATTTCCGAGCGAAGGAACTACTCATCCCATAAACCACCGCGCCTCACTGAAGTCGACTGAAGCCACAACCGCGAAAGAGCCTTTTGAGCGACTTCCAAATCAGACACGTTACACGACTTCCACCAATCAGATGCATCACTGTGGGATTGTTCAGGATTGTGGGAAATGAAGTACTTAAAGCAGCACTCAGTAAGAATTCCGTTTTTGTCAAACAGCGACCCCTAGAGTCGCTGTGGAGTACTTGTACTGTCGTGAATAGCACTCACGCAGAGATGGCTCGCACTCACGGCCGGATCCCCTCCCCCTGTATACCGGTACCTGTTCAGTAGGATGGACGCTGTAACGAGTGAAAATAAGGTATGGCCCCTTTAAGAGCTGCGCGCGCCCAACACCACATGTATACGGCGCCGGGTTATTTCTGTTTGATGCTCATTTTATCAGATCTGTTTTTTTGCCGTAAAGCAATTCGTTACCTCGCGAGACCTGATATCACACGATACTTCCTAACACTCAGGCCGGCGGCTCGCCGGCCCAAAGTTGCAAGGGTGGTTTTGCGGCTCACAGGCACCAGGGGGGTGCGAGACGACCACCATTCAACACGAAATCAGTAATATTAACATTACAATGACTCCAAAGCTGTTCGGTTAAGGTAAAAAAGTTACTTAGTTCACCTTTAAAGCTGCAGTCCGTAGCTTTTTTTAAGTTAAAAATAATCCAAAATAATTATATAAAAAAAAACGTATTCTGCCAGTGGTCAAAACTATCTGCTTGCCATAGCTAGATTCAAAACGGTTAGCTTGTAATAATGATTTTAATTCCAGTGGTACTGCTGGGTTTCCGCGGGAGATTCGAGCATGTCTTTGCGTCATTACGTCACACCCGTACACATAAAGAAGGAGTTTCGGCTAGCCGGCTATACTGCGGGTGACGAGATGTTTAGATGTATAGGCTTTTCTCGCAGGACTTTACATAATTAAACTTATGGCATCCAGAAAGATCCAAACAACAATCATCAGTGTCAACTGGAGATTCAGCAGTTATAAAACCCAAAAGACTTCGTACTTCGGATTTAAGGTGGCTAGAGAAAGAGAAAGAAACCGTCTCATGCCAACACAAGGATTAAACATCGGCGGGGCTTTTGAAAAGTGCGTGAACTCCGTGTTTTGAAGGGGTTCAAAACGGAAGAAGAGACGGCCTTTTTCTGCTGAACAAGTAAGACATTTCAATAGTTCAATCGTGTAACAGTACGTTCTCTTACGAGAGGTTCTCTCGTATTGCGTAAGCTAGCTTACGCTACGGGAAAGATTAATCTTTTCTGAGAAATTGAAGCCAAAAATTATCCTATAATTTTGTATCTATTCACAACGCAGTTCAGCTGCAGCAGAGCATGAGCAGGCTAGCTAGCAGCTCATTGGCTCGCTCACAGGGAACTGCTTAAGCCTATGAGGAGACACGAATGAACTCTCGGCCAATGAGAGTCTGACCTGCTCTCATTGCGTCAGAGCCCGCCGAAACGGGCGTGGCCAGAGAGTATAAATTCGCCTCTCAGGCTGTAAATTCTGATTTTTCATATCTTCAGCGAGGCTACACGCATCTGCTGATCCTGAGAGAAGCCGCCGTCGTGGAAAAGGCACCTTCTAGCGAGCATCTGGGAGTCTGAGGAAGCCGGCCGTCTTCGCCACCTTCAGCCGTCCTGCAAGCTAGCGCCATCCGACGGATTCATATCCTTTACCAAAAAGCTTCTTGTATTGTGTGTGTGTATCTAAAAGAGCAGCGAGTGTCTTTTTTAAGATGCCTCGCACACCTGCGGCTCATGCCGCGTCCCTCTCAGCGCCAGAGCCCGCCTTCTTCTGCGCTCTCTGCCTGGGACTGGGACACGCAGAGCTTTCTCTCGCCAACGGCGGATGTTTCCTCTGCGATTGGGCTTCTGTTGTTGACCCTGCGGGCTCGACTCGAAGCGTTACGCCGCCTCCCCCTCTCACCGCCTACGAGCGCTGAATGGGGGACGAGCCGCTTACAGCTGTGCCAACTGCGGCTAGCTTTCTTTACTTTACAAGAGAGCTAGCCCGGCCCCATGCATACGCGTCACCGGCAAGTGGGTTTATAGTGCGTTAAGTTCCGTCGAGGCCGAACTAGTCGCTGCTATCACACCCTCTTATCTGCTGGCGCTATTAAGCTTGTGTCTTCCCCCTAGCTCAGTGGTGGAACACAAAGCTTTTCGCGCTAGAGACCCGTGTTCGATTCCGGCTCTCGCAGATAATGTTTTAAGCAGCTCTGAGCTCTCGGCTAGCTTTCTTACGTTACAGAAAGCGGCCGCGCTCTCCCGCCTGCATATAACGCCGCTACATTAAGCGTTTATAGTGTATCAGTTCCGCTGAGGCCGAACCTGTTTCTGCTATCACGCCCTCTTATCTGCTCGCGCTGTTATGTTTGTGTCTTTACCCCTGGCTCAGTGGTGGAACACAAAGCTTTTCGCGCCAGAGATCCGTATTCGATTCCGGCTCTCGCAGATAATCTTTATGCAGCTCTGAGCTCGCGCCCAGCTCTCTTACGTGACAGAAAGCGGCCGCGCTCTCCCGCGCTCATGAGAAACGTTCTCATTTCCGAGCATAAAGCTGGACAAATGGGTTATAGTGGGTTAGTTCCGCTGAGGCCGAACCTGTTACTGCTATCACGCCCTCTTATCTGCTCGCGCTACTGTGCTTGTGTCATTACCCCTGTGGCTCAGTGGTGTATCACAAAGCTTTTCGCGCCAGAGACCCGCGTTCGATTCCGGCTCTCGCAGATAATTTTTATGCCGTCACAAGTCCAGCCTTTGCAGGCTAAAAATAGTCTCGTGCCCGCTTGCAGCGCTCACGTTTCTAACACGCACTTGCACGCGACGCGCGTCACAAGTGCAGCCGATTTCAGGCTATATATATATCCCGCTGCAGGCCGCTCACGTGACCAGCCTCAGCTGAGAAAAGGACGGCTATTTCTCACCATGGCTGAACCGCCATCAAGGTTTCGCCCTCTGTCAGTCCCCGTTCACACGGCTACTGCAGCAGTGTACACTGCCATCAACAAGCCGGTCTCTTTTCCCGCTTGCATGTGCACAAACGCCGTTTTCACCGCGTCCCAGAGAAATCCCAAAAAAAAAAAAAAAAAGTGCATAAAAGCCTCTTGTGTAGAAAATGTGCCCACAACACT